CGAGGCACAAGATGAAGCGGCTGGTGCGGTGATGCACCCTATAACTCGTTATACCCCCTTCATGTTCTGAATTGGTCCCATCCTTGTGATGGCTGAGATCTTCTCTAGGTTGGCTTCGATGCCACGCTCGGAGATGATGAAACCAAGCAGCATACCCCTCGGGACCTCAAAAACCCACTTCTTGGGGTTGAGCTTAATGCCATTTGCTCAGAGTTTTGCGAAGGTCTGCTCAAGGTCAGCTACGAGCTGGTCAACCCATTTGGACTTGACCACGATGTAGTCCACATAGGCCTCAATGGTTTGCCTGATGAGGTCTCTGAAACACTTGAGTATACAACGTTGGTACGTAGCCCCTATGTTCTTCAGACTAAACAGCATTGTGACGTAGCAGAATAATCCAAACGGGGTGATGAAAGATGTCATGAGCTGATCAAACTCTTTCATCGTGATTTGATGGTACCTAGAGTATGCATCAAGGAAGCAAAGGGTTTCGCACCCTGAGGTAGAGTCGACTACTTCGTCTATGCATGGCAAAGGAAACGGATCCTTTGGACATGCTTTGTTGAGACCCGTGTAGTCAACACATATTTTCCATTTCCTGTTCTTCTTTCATACAAGGACGGGATTGGGTAACCACTTTGGGTGGTATACTTGCCCGATGAACCCTGCCACCAATAGCTTCATGATCTCCTCGCCGATGGCCCTGCATTTCCCCTCATCAAAGCCACACAGGTGCTGCTTCACCAGCTTGGAGCTTGGCCTATACTTCAAGACATGCTCGGTGAGTTCTCTCGGAATGCCCAGCATGTCTGAGGGTTTCCACGCAAAGATGTCTCTATTGACGCGGAGGAAGCCGACGAGCTCACTTTCCTATTCGGAGGAAAGCATGGTGCCAATGCGCACCACTTTGCCCTTAGAGCCGCTGGGGCCTATGAGGACCTCCTTGGTGCCCTCCACTAGCTCGAAAGACCCGGCCGACCACTTGGGGCTGGGTGCTTCTTCGGCGACCTTCTTCTCGATGGCCGCAAGCTCCTTGGAGGCGACGATCACCGTGACATGATCACAGCACTCGACCTCGCATTTGTATGCGCGCTGGAAGGAGGTGTCGATGGTGATGACCCCGCATGGTCTCGGCATCTTCAGTTTTAGATAGGTGTAGTTAGGGACGGCCATGAACTTCGCATAGCATGGATGTCCTAGGACAGCGTGGTAGGTTCCATGGAACCCGACCACCTCGAAGGTGAGGGTCTCCGTCCTATAATTGGACAGATCTCCAAAGGTGATGGGCAGATCGATCTATCCAAGTGGCATGGCCTCCTTTCCAGGCACGATGCCGTGGAAAGGTGCTCCGGTCGGTGCCTATGGCGTCAAGGGTTTTGGCGTACATGATGTTGAGGCCACTGCCTCCATCCATCATTACCATGGTGAGCCACTTTGTGCCAATGATTGGGTCGACTACAAGCAGATATCTCCCTGGTTGTGGGACACTCTCTGGGTGGTTAGTCTGATCAAAGGTTATGGCGGACTCTGACCACCAGAGGAAGACAGGCGTGGCCGGTTCGGTCGTATAGACCTCGCGGCGTGCGAGCTTCCAGCGGTGCTTGGAGTCATAGGTCGCTGACCCTCTCAAGATCATCAGGCAACCATCTAGCATTGGAAAGCCACCGTCCCTCCCCTCAGCATCATTCGTAGTCGGCTTGGGGTCCTTCCCATGCCCTCCCTTGTTGAAGCCTATGGACAAGAACCGCTTCATGAGGCCGCAGTCCTTGTATAGATGCTTGACGGGGAAGGAATGGTTCGGGCATGGCCCTTCGAGCAGCTTCTCAAAGTGTTCCGGGATACCCTCCGCAAGCTTCTGGCCCCCCTTGCGGTTTCATCGGTTTAGATCCAAAATACGTTTTCACTTATTTACAGATTTGCCACTAATTTTGTTTTAGCCATAAAATCTCTGTTTTAACTCTGATTTGATCCGTTCAACTTGCGTTAGGTTCAAAATTTCATAATCTACATGTTCATACTACTATTAGATATGTTTTCAACTTTTAAAATTCAAGGTTAGATTTAATCTATTATTTTATTAAAGGAAATCTTGTTTATTTCATATCTTCTGCATTTTAACTCTGTTTTGACCCATTCAAGTTGCGTTAGATTCATAGCGACGAGATCTACATGTTGGTAACAATGTTTATCATATTACTATTTCTGAAATTTCATGGTTTAAATCATATCTTGATTAATAATTATGCAACTAGATTTTATAAATAAAATATGATTTGTTTTACTTTAGTTTTATAATTCAAATCTAAATGTGCCTCAATTCAATTTAAATTATTTATAAAATATATTATATATATGAATTTATTTAGTTAAAATAAATGAAGCCTATAGTTTTGTTTTCCACGTATAAAGCAAATCTCTCGGTAGTTGTATCTTTTCGACCGTAGCTCCGATTAGAGTGCTTATCGCGACTGTGTGTTCGTAGCGATGTGTAGAATCATGTTTCAAACTCTTTTACTTATTTTTCTATGATGTTGTACTAATGGATGCTTGCGTGGTGCTTTATGATTACGTCCAGTCGGTGAGGTATACGTGGTGATCAAGAAGAAGAAGAAGAAGAAGAACGTTGAAGATTAAAGCTTACCGAAGGATCGGTGTTTTAAGGCAAGTATAATATGAGGTTCCTTGTTACCTATTCACTTTAATGCAATCTCAATTCATATGCATATGTTAATGAACCGCTTGGAGTCTATTTACCTTGATATTGATTATCCTGTCCTTGGTTTACCTATGGGTTTTGCATGTGGGTAGTATTCTCAGTTTGCTCCAACTAATATTGATTAAAGAATACAATTAAAGATATATGCAACATGGTATTAAAAGATGCTTTTTAGCAACATGGAACCAATGGAGCTATAGCATTGGGCCTTTTCTTATGGTGCTCTAGTTTCCCTCTATAAGGACTCATCTTTAAGTGGCAACCTAGGACTTACAGTACAACCATGAGGACCACATGGCTTTGGTCTTAGTCCAGTACCTTGCTCTTTCTAGTTTGTAGCAGTTTACCAAAAGGCCAAGAGGGGCATACCAGGCTGGGTATGGGCCTTATCCCCAGGGTGTGTACTATGCTGCTAGTATTAGTGCTATTCTTGGGATGACTCCATAACACTTGGGAGATGGAATCCTTAGCGACTGCTCCTTATTAGAATGACTGGGGAAAAGCTTCGTAGTGTATCCTTCCTGCTCACCTTGGAAGTGTTTTGGGAGTAATTAACCCGGGCATATGGGTAACATGACTTGTAGTGAAAGTGTATAACCTTTGCAAAGTGTAAAATTGGGAGATATCGGCCGTGCTCATGGTCACGAGCGGCCTGGACCCTTACTGAATAGTTGGTTACTTGGATGGCTTGGGTTATGATTAAAATTGCTGATATCTCTAATTATTCATATTTGGGAGCCTAAGCATAACTTAGCAACTTATGATTAATAATAAAATATGACCAACTAAAAGTGCTTACTGCAGTTCAGCCGTGTCAAGCCTTTTGAGCCTGCATCCCCTCATGTTATGCTTGCTAAGCAGTAGTAGCTTACACTTATTTTATTTCAATACTTTGGCAAAATCTCGGATGGGTACTAGATTGCTCGAGTTTGGAGGAATTAGGCTTGTGGTCAACCAGTCAGTTGTCCTTGTGGAATTGGAGTCTTCACTCAAAGATCAGAGTTGTCTTTCTGCTGTTTGCTATGAAAGGTTATATTCTTTATACTAAGTACATTATATATTGAGCATTGTCTATTGATATTACCTTTATTTGTAGCTATATGTGAGAATTGACTTCCTGGGCTCACATATGGTGTGTATCTGGTTTTGTTCTTAAAACTGGATGCTACAGGCGGCCTCTAGGTGGGGCCGACCAGCCTCACATGTCAGAGACATGGGCTCTGCTTCCCTGACTCGCCTTTCAGAGTCTTCTGGAGTCTTCCCACGTTGATTACGCGATAGAATTCTATAATTTCCTTTGATGAATAGGTCCCCCTTGACGGTTTTCTAGATAAACCCTGCTGAAAACACAGATTCACCAAAACTTATGGAATTTATTAGTTTGAACCCCTTATACCTATGTTTGGTGATGGAATTAAGTATAAATACATGTTATGTTGATGGTTTATAGTTGATGTTAGTGACGATCAACAATCTTTCGTTACAACTTCTTAAGAAAATAGGAAAGACCATACCAACCACACACTAACCTAGTTGTATACTCCCTATTAACAAAACTACTTACACTAACATTCATTTGGTACATCTGTAGCAAATAAAACTATTATGTACCATATCACAAGAAAAGATATGCATATATTACAAGTCATGATCATTTATGTTGCAGTAGCTCATCAAGATATTTGAATAGATAAATATATATCACATGAGTGAGATGGACCATTGCAACTCATTAGACTTCCCCATTGATGATGTGGTCAAATAATAGTAGCTAAACCAGATGCTGGCATCATTCTATCCTGTGTGCCTAGGAATGGCTTCAGTGGTGGCATGGCCGTGCATGACCACACATGTCACCCCGTCAATGGCAACATACTTGGGCACACATGAGTCTGCCTTGGAACCTCACCTCTACAACCAAACTAGACTGCACTAGTGTTTCTCTACCTTTTCTACTCTCAAGTTTGTGCTCTGCATAGGAAAACTATTGGCGTTGGCAAGTTGACAATGTGTATATGGAGCTTATAGCAAACGTCTAGCACTAAATATTAATGCATTTAAGAAAAAGAGTCACACAAGTAGAGATATACTATATATAGGGTGTATAATATTCTTTGACTTTGTTATCAAAATCTCAATTTTGCCTTTATATGAGGCCTATAAATACCAACCTTGGTGTTTGCCAATCTCCACAACCCAACAACCTTGGTGTTTGCCAATCTCCACAACCCAACAACCCTCGTTCTTAGCTCAAACTACCAATTGTTGCGTAGTACTCAACCACATGGATCCTAAGTTCAAGGGAGAGTGGAGTGCCTCTGAGATCAAGATGGTGAAATCTCTCATTGCAAGGGACAATGCCAACAACAATGGTGCTAGTGATATGAACAAGAAGCATAATCAAATTGTGGATGAGCTCCAAGCAATGTTCCCTAGCAAGGAGAAGCATCAGGTAACCAGCTTGTACGTTGATGTCATGGTGGAGATGATGCAAACATTGCAGAGTGGCAACCAGCTCGTGGAAGCAAGTAGCAACCTCATGAATCAACCCTTTGGGGTGTTTGTGGGGGATCCATCCATGGGCAACATGGAAGCATTTGATGGTTATCAAAAAGTGGAGATGTTCGACACAAGGAATGTGAAGGAGACTCCATGGAGGAAGCCCACTCCTCGGAAGGAGATCCAACACACAGGGAGGTTCTGGACCACAGATGAGCATAGGTTAGTTATTTTCTAGATCCTTAAAGCATCTCATACAAATTTTTAATGCTTCTCACATGAAGTTTTAGTACCCTTTTTAAGCATAGGTTATGTGGTATTACTATGATGAGGTGTTTATATAATATTTTTCTTTTACCAATTATGAATATATATGGAAATGGAATCTAAATTTCTGCCTAATTAGTTCACTTCAAACTCTACCTCATTGTAGGCAATTCCTCCGTGGTCTACATGTGTACGGTCGCGGAAATTGGAAGAACATCTCTAGGCACTTTGTTACCACCAAGACCCATGTGCAGGTTTCTAGCCATGCTCAAAAGTACTTCCTTCGGAAAGAAACTGGCACCAAGAAGCAGCGTTATAGCATCAATGACATTGGACTTTATGATTTTGAGCCCTTGACGCAGATAAATGCTTCTATCTGGAAGGGGCCCACCTTTGGTGGAGGCATCTACAACACAAATCACTATAGCTTTGGTGGACATCCTACTTCCATGAACAATGCCCATGCTTGGTCACCATTCCTATACCACACTGGCCATGGAAGTAGCAGCAGTAGCCAGATGGCCACCTTGGCTATTGGCCAGCAATAAGAGCAGATGGGAGCTAGTAGTTCTTTAGTGGCTCCGACCATGGAGGCGGATGGGGGCCACTTGGACTGGACTAGTGATAAGCTGGGAGATCTTCTTGATACTCAGTGGATGATGAATGCGGACATGAACTAGGTTTTATACACCATCTAGTATGCCAAGTTGCATGGTGGCCTATTAGTTCATCCTATATATGTGGGTTAAGCATCATAGTATTCTCTTATGCTAGAGTATGAGCAACTTAGTTGTCATGAAATATTGTGTGGTACTTTCAAATGTATGTGTCTTGTTTCATTGTGGCATTTTATTTAGTTTGGTGTATCGGCTATGTCAGAATCAATATTACATTGAGCTTATTTATTTATTCTTAGACTTACCCTATTTTATATTATTTCATTGTTTTAATGGTTGGTTGTGGGACTTATACTCTAATACATATCGATTGCTTAGACATTAGACAGATTAGAGAAGTAGAACATGGAAATTTCATAGGCATATATCTAAGACTAAGGAAATGTAACACTCCCATGTACAAATTGATCTTAAGCTATGCACACATGTATGCAACTTGTTCCTCTAGAGAGGGTGGCATGCCGCACATTACATTGTTGTACTATTTCACTTTGGAGTATTCTACGGTTTTGGAATTTTTACATGGAATCAATTGAGATTATGACATTAAATTTTCAAGTATCTAAATATTACTAGCTAATCCAAACAAGGGATAAATTCATAACAAAATGAAACAATAAATAATCAACACCACAAAGATGTATTAATAGTATAAATGGCGAGGAGGACAACAAGACAAGGGCTAGGTTCCTATAATGACCTTTCCTCAATAACGTGGTCAAGGAAGAAATATTATAGCAAGTGAAATAGTAGAGGATCAATCTACCATGAATGTGGCTAAGAGACCACTTGACCCTTTTAACATGATGTGTTAGTACTATGTAGAACTATAAACACAACGATTCAAGATTGAGACAAAGGAAGAGGGCCAAAACACATTTAGCATGGTCGGTAGGCCACTTGATGTGTTAGGCGACCATTAAAAGAACCTAGCAGCTTGCTCCTTTGCTCTATCATGACATGTTGGAATCCAAGAACATAAATGCCAAATATGTAAGCGAGGGAGAAGGGGGTCGGACAACCCCTCAGGTGTTCGTACGATGACTCCCCTTGCTCTCCTCTATAAATACCACTACAAGGTGGTCAAGTAAACCCCCAAATCAGGCAAGCACATGTTCAGCCCCTAAGCTCCCTCCCTCTTCATTTATCATGGCGTTGTCATGACCTGGTCGTGCATATCAGTAACCATGCCCATCATGAGCATAATCTGCATTCAAATGTCATATTTTCAAAGCTTGCAAGACAAAACATCATTTTTTGGGTTTTGTTGTCTGTAGACCCCTACGCTCGGATGAGCCTCTCCCAACACTCCTCCATGCTAGCGCATGAGCCTCTCCCAGCGTGGTAGCATCTCCAGCTTGAGGCTACGCCAGCCCTTGCCGGTGGCAGACAAGAGGCGGTGGGGCGATGACGGAGAAGAAGGGGATGGGTGTTGGTATTTATTAACTTGTCACTTGTTTAGTAGCCACCTATTATAAACCTATATCTCGTAACATTACTTTACTAGGTTGTCATCCCTAGTGATGATGCCAGAGATGCTTGTTGGTACTACATAGCATTACTACTAGAATAATACTAAGTAGTTCTTTATTAATTTGTGTGACTAGGAAGAATAGATATGAATATATATATGAAAGGAATCTACAAGCGCATAAATATTTACACCATTGTAGCACTTCACCCGGGAGTATTCCAGGTATCGTTATTTATATTTTTACCATAGGGAAGGTCTAGCATGGACATGTATTGACAACTTACACTATTGATGGAGAAGTAAACCATAACCAATATTCTACTCATGGCAGGGGTAAGTCATAGGATAAGATATATATATATATATATGATAAGTATTGATTATCAATAATGATAAATCACTTAGAGTACTCCTTTCTATGGCATTAGCATGGTCAGGTAGAATATTAGAGAAATAATTCCTAAGTCATTCTTAATTACAAGTCAAAGCATACATTGATTAGTGCAATTATACCTAGTAGTCATGTCTAAGGTTATCTTTATATCTACACAAAAGGGATATTACTAAGGAAGATTAAGAACATAGATTGTTCTTCCTTCGTAACCGGACCCTACTTGCACCTATATTCGGGGAGTGGACTACAAAGGACTCAATGGGAGTGTCACATCCATGATGTACCACATGACCCAGAATATAGGGTGTATCTGTAGGTAAACAACGTATAAGCACCACACTTACACAATGTCGACCAACCACCTCATGAACTTTAGAGTGAGCGCTATACGAACTTATGCATAAACATAATGATAAACTAGCTATACTAAGTATATAATCAAAGTAGACGTTGAACATTATAACAAAAAACATGAATAAGATGAATACTAATATTGTCATAATAATTGTAACTAGCATATAAAAATAATGGAGGTACAAAAGAGAGGGGGTACAAAGATTATACCAAACCACGCTCTTGACACGATCAGGAATCCATGCGAAGCCTGCTTGCCTCCCTCTAGACCTAGCCTAACTAGCTATGCCCTAGAATATGCTAGAGCTCTGAGGATGATTAGGGTTTCTATCTTCTCAAATGACTTGATGACTAGGGTTATGCCTGGGGGTGGCAGGGGCTGGTATATATAGTCTAGAGCGTCCAACATGAGCCCTTGGATCAAACCAACTTAAAGGATGACATAGATGCAACCTAGGAGGCGGTGGAGAACTGACATAATAACGGGGGACTGATAAGTAGGCTCCAGGGGCCGACCGCCCCACCTGGTGGTGTCTTGCCCTTTGCTTCGGTGTGGAGTCCTCTTGAGTCTTCTGGAACCATCTGATGTCTGTTTCGCTGTGGATAAGCGCAATTAAATCTAACATCTTGGTCCACCTTGATGGTTTTCTAGATAAACCTTGCAGAAAATACAAATTCACCAAAACTTGTAGAATTTGTTAGTTTAAACCCCTAGACCTTCGTTGGTGATTATATTTACGCCCTTATGTATGTTATATTGACGGTTTATAATGGTTGTTAACTACCATCGATCAACAAACTCCCCCAAACTGAACCTTTGCTAGTCCCTTAGCAAAGCTAAACTTAGTAAATGGATCAGGAGTTGCATCGATGCTTTCACTCCTCAAGAGTACACATGCGTTCAAACAAGAATTCTCCTCCGGATTGGAATAAACTGATCTGACCTTCAAACTTACCCATATTATCTTCAACCATGGGGCTTCTCAGCCTTCACTTGGGTCTTGAGCAATTGAAAGATAGAACGATCAAGTCAAGCACTATGTGTCAAGTTCTTTGCTCAACCATTATTCTGGAGTTCTTTTTATAGATTTTTAAAATAAAACTTAGAGCTTCCTTTGTATGACACTCTCAAGTCTCTTAATATATGTGGTATTTGTGGATCCTCACCAAGGAAAAAATGATATTATGCCTTTCTTTTCCTACAACTAAAGCTTATGTGGAGCTCATAAGAGTGGAAAAAGCATGAAAGAGCATACTTGCAATACATATATTGTAAAGTCAAACCTCGGATCCAAATAGAGTTGAGTCATACAATCAAATGAAGATGTGCATGTGTGTGGATGTATGTTGGATATATTTGGTGGCTAACCTAATTCTACTATGCTCCTTGAATACATATCTCTCTTTTGAAACTTGAAAACAACTTTTCAAGAAAACATGGGCTATCTTATTCATCTTTTCTTCTCTTTTTTTCAGGTGGACATCTAAGTACCTATTGTTTTAAATATCTCGGACACTTGTCCATTTTTTCTCATCTTTCTTTTTTCTATGAATAACTTTTGCATAGCCGCATGCTTCTTTTCTGCAACAGAACTTTTGAGAGATAGCAACAAGAACTTTGGAGCATTTATTTGGTGCATATCCTATCAAGAATATTTTTTGTGTTTACTCCCAATGTAGGAGTAAAACATTTTTGGGTAGATCTAGATGGAATGGCATGTTGTTGCATCTACCCCTAGTGTAGGAGTAGTGTATATTTGGGTGATGTGTACGTGATCTTGATTTTAAGAGCATGACAAACCTCTCATAAGGGTCAACAAAGCTTGACTAAACTTAATGCAATGCAAGCAGCATATAAGAGGAAATTTTCCTAATCTAAATATCATATATGGCTCTGTTAGGAATTCAAGCTTTGTCATACATGAGCTCATCATGTAGGATTTTTATGTTTTTTAAAAGATAAATCTCTAGAACTTTAGTGTCACTTGGAACAAGATAAACAGCAGCTCATACCTTCTCATATTATTTCCGTCAATTACCTAAACTTAGATCAAGTATATGCTACCCACGAGTTTCAAGTTTAGAGTAAATTCTTATATCAAAACAGCTGTATCCAAAACTCGAGAGAATTCAAGGCTTAAAACTAGGTACTTGAAAGGAATTATGACAGAGCAACTATTTATCATTTCTGTCGCAAGAGATTATTCTCAGAGTCCTTTTATTTAGCTCTTAAAAATCAAACGTAAAGAAAACTTAACACACCTTTTATTTTGTTTTTAAAATTTAAGATCACACCTTAATATATATAACTAGCTAAGATAAATTTTTATTTTGCTTTTAATTTGTTATGCATCTTTTTATTTCTTTAGCAAATATGAAGCAAACTTAAAAATAGTAAAACCAAAAGGGGAAGAAATACTTAGCTAGATACATGGGGGATGCTCCTCCCCCAAGCTAGATGTTGTCGTGGTCTTTTTTAAAGTGAGTCTACCAGCAGAAGTCTTTCTCATCTGTATAGAAGTTGTGTTTCTCATGCAGCGATAGTTCGAGAAAATGTACTTCGGATGGATGGCTTTACTCTTGATCATCCTACAAAATAATCCAACAAAAACATCAAAACTCATGGCATAGATTAGGATAAGGGGTTAG